CTCTTAGTTGATGAATACAAAACATTGTTTGGCCAATAGCCAGTGAGGCAGAAAGATAGACAGGACTAGGAGACAGGAGAATTCTGGGAAAGGTAGGCAGAGAGAGAGAGAGAGACAGTGGAGAGACACCACATAGAGACCAGGAGGATAGGATGCACCAGGCATTCTCTGGTAAGATAAGGCCATGTAGAAATATATAGATTAGTAGTTATGGGTAAATAACCAAGACAGAGCTAGCCAATAGAAAGCCTTAGCCATCGGCCAATAGTTTAATAACTAATACAGTGTTCATGTGTTCATTTGGGGCTGATGCGGTGGTACCTGGCAGGACAAGAAACTCCAGTTACACCATATTTTAAAATGGATTGTACTCTAGGACCTGTTCCCTTTCCTTTCTATTGTTTGTGTTTGTCACTGTGTATATGTAAGATGCTCAGTGCATTCTGATATGCCATTGAGATACTCTGTGTGATCAAGTAAGTTAGGATGTCTGTGTCACTGCATTCCTGAGCGGAGTGCTGGTAAGAGCCTGTGAGTCCACTGTCACCCAATGTTGCACACTGATTTCTATCTGAGACTTAGATTCTATCCATTCTTTGCACTGTACTCTTTGACCACCATGGGCTTTCTGATACTGGTGCTAATGACGCCCCTATGTGCTTATGTCTGCCAAGCAAGGTTGATTGGCCTTGTAGAGGGGTCAGAGTGTCTGAAGTACTTTATGCTCATTTTCTGACTTCCTGGGTTCAGACCTGCTGTACCTATAAGTAGAAAGCTTGGCAGTCGTGTCCTGACTCCAAGAGAAGGGGTAGATGCAGAGCAGGAAGAGTGAAGTCCACACTGAGGGATCTTAGTGGGATGCCCATTAGCTTGGCTGTCTTTACCCTGCTACCACGCTGTCCACACAACTACCTGGCCCTGGAATGCTACAGGGCGGAGGGGTGAGCCCGCAGTACTGTCCACACACCTTTGGGGGCCCTGTCCCCACCTATGTTTCCAGTGATTTAGCATCAGCTTCTCACTCTCTCTGAGGTTCAGTGCCCTCCAGAGACCCATGGTAGTCTCTGCTCCTGTTAGGCTTGGCACAGTCTGTGATGGTCCTGGGCCATGCTCAGAAGGCGTCTTCACACATTGGTGCGCTGACCTCAGGAGTAGCAGTGACGCACATGGGGACTCGGGTCTTAAGCTATAGCCTGAGATCAGGTGGGTCCATAGGTGTAAGGATGGCCTGCGTGGGGAACAGAGGGATGCCTAGAGGAACTGGCAGGGTTGATGGCGGAGTCGGGTGTCCAGTCATGCTGCCACAGCAAAGCATGCCACCACGTGGCCTCCCTCCGTAGGGAGCCCAGCAGCACGGATGGTTTCTGGGACAAGACTCATGGGCAGAGTTGCCTGCCAATATGATCTGTGCTCACTTAGCCTGAAGTGGCCTCTGTGTCCAAAGTTCTCTAAGCTTTTGTAAGCACCGGGTCCATTTCAGGTTTCCTTTTACTGAAAGCAGGTGCAGCTCCCTACAGCAACTGAACCCCAGGAGGCACAGCTGGGAAGGGAGCCAGGTGGATCCCAGCAGGTGCAGGTGGCTCTGCCACAGCTTTGGGAGAGGCCCTTTCCCTGCAGATGTTCTCCGGTGCCCTCGGCTCCTCTCAGAAGGGTTGGTGAGAGTGTGGGACTCCTTGAGCCCTGAGAAGGCTCCCTCAAGCCAGCACAGCTCCTCTTCATTCTCATAGCAGAGCAGCACCGGGAGTGACAGCCACACATTAGCGTTCCCAGGATTCCCTGCTCCATTCCTTCCCTTTTTCCCCTGGATTTGACTTCTTACCGAAAAATGAACCGTAAATATTGTCCTGGCCAATTGTGTGGCATAAATTTCATAGGCCTGTTCAGAGACTAGATCTACTATTTCCTCATTGACTTGTTATGTATTTTGCTATTCAGTTGCCCAAGCCCATCGAGGCAGCTGTGCACTGGAGATCTGAAGTCAGTTTGCAGTGCATGTAACATAAACCAATGAAGTCTGCTGTTTCTGCTTCTGCAGATGTGGAGCACCAGCTGTAGAGGGAAACAGGAGACTCTTGATGCCCCTAGGGTCCTGCTAGGACAGTGGTTCTCAACCTTCCTAATGCTGTGACCCTTTAATTCAGTTCCTCCTGTAGTGGTGACTCCTAACCATAAAGTTATTTTCGTTGGTACTTCATAACTAGTTTTGATACTGTTATGAATTGTACCGTAAATGTCTGTGTTTTCCTATAGTCGTAGGTGACCCTGTGAAAGGGGTCGTGACTCACAGATTGGGAACTGCTTTGAGATACACCCAAGGCCATCCCAGGCAGGGGGAAGACAGAGGTGGTGCCTAGCAATGACTGAGCATACATACAGATGCTTTCATGTTAGTGCGAAGAGTGTAACCTGGTGAACCCCAGCTGATGCTCACAGGTTGAGCCTAGAGCGGGAACAGAAGCTAACAAGCCTCTGAGGAAGAGGAGCTGCCCATGGGCTCTCGGTTGTAGGTGCCATGGATGCGGAGCTGATGCAGTGTTTGGCTTTAGATGTGGCCTCGGGCCTAGGCTTAAGCTCTACTCTCTCATTGTACTAGCTCTGGGCCTGTTGTGGAACCTAACTTCGGAGTTATCTTGCCTGAAAAATAGGAAGCACAGGTCATGCGTTGGAGCTGTTAGATGTACTCACTGACTCTGGATAACTAAGGAACTACAGAGATGGCCGCAGCGTGACACCTTACGGCATCTGTGGGGTGCATCCCCTTAGAATGGTGGGGAAGGCCACATCCACTTGGTTCCCATAGTGGGCTTCTCAGGGAGGAGGAAATGGCTATTGACCCAACACCAGAGTCTGTAGAGATGAACAGAAGCGGGTGCAGTGTAAGACCAGAGGCTCAGAGAGAAGCAGCAGAGGAGAGAACCAGCAGAGGCCATCCACGCAGAGGAGAGAACCAGCAGAGGCCATCCACGCAGAGGAGAGAAAAAGGAAGCAAGTTTTTTCTCCCCAGTGGAATCCAAGTCTCCTCTTCCTTACTTTTAGAAAGTAAAAATGTTATTAGTGAAAACTTCAGAAGATAGAGTCAAAGGAAGAGGAACTTTGCTGTGAGATGATGTCTCCTAGAAATGTCAGAGGAGCTACACCCATGAATTCTTACCAGAATGATTGCCTAAACATGACCCGGTCAAGGTGACACCGATAGACATGTTAAGGTGGATGGGGGAAACTCAGAAGGCCTCAACTGTACACAAAGAGGATTGCTGAGAGCAGGGGAAATAGTCTGTAGGAAAGAGTGTACTAACTGGTCATCTAACAACAAATGGTTAGCTCTGAAAAAATGTAAATACAAGTAACATTATACAGACTAAGCAGGTTGTTTTTATATACTTAGGGATATGTGTATATTCATATACCTCTGCGTGCGTGCGTGCGCGTGTGTGTGTGTGTAACAACAATTAAAGAAAAAGAGTCCAGGAATTTGAATGAGAGCAAGGCATGCAGTACCCGGGAGGGGTTGGAAGGAGGAAAGGGAAGGGGTAAAAATGATGTAATTGTGCTATAATTTAAAAAAATAATAAGATTACGAAAAATAATTACGGTTTGAAATTTTTAAAAAGATGGAGACGTTTATAGAAAATAGGAACACTTGTTTGGAATTCCTCATCCCAGGGGTTGGCTTTTGAATACTTCGGTACCATTTCTGCTTTCTTTAGCTCATAAGGCATGTGTCATTGCACCTGTGACGTTGATGCATGGCTGCTTACGGATTTGCTTTGTGGTGCAGAGTGAACTCCCAGCTCTGAAACTCCTCTGCTACTCATCACTGTGATGAAAGGGGTATGGACTTGAGAGCCTCTGCCTGGCTTGGTCACCAGTCACTGTGGGTACACACACAGTGGTGTCTTTCTGATGTGTCTTTGCCACCATTGCTTGGCACTTACTGTGGCTACTGCCATGTTACAAGGCTCTCTCAATGGGCTTGTTCTTCCCACTGGGTAAGACTTCCCAGTCCCAGGACCACACACATTTCACCAGATAGGAAGGCCAGCTGTGTCCCTGAGGCTGGATCTTGGCAGTGGTGTGTGAGGCCTCTTCCCCACGCACACACACACGCCGCAAGCACTTTATTATCTGAGCCACCTTCCCAACCCCTGTATCTTTACCATTGTGAGGTAGGATCTCAGCACCTGGTCCAGGCTGACCTTGAACCAACCGTAGTCCTGCCTCATGGGACGCAAGCACGCACCATCATCCTTAGGGGTTCTGTGTTTTTAGCTTATGCCTAGACAGTCAGCAAAACCTGGTTTGGCGTGAAAAGACTACATTGTGACTTGAAACGTTATCACTTTTACTGTTAGCAAAACCTGGTTTGGCGTGAAAAGACTACATTGTGACTTGAAACATTATCAGTTCTATAATCTGCTGCAGGTTTCCCCCTATTGCCCAATTTCAAGAATTCCCTGAAAGAAATTTTAAAAAGCAAACAGACTCTAGCCCAGACATATTTTTCTCCCCAGCCAGAAGAATGTGGGGTTAGCTAAGAACAAAGATCATGGGCATCTGGGTATGGCGTTTTTGGCAGAGGATGGCATTGGGGTATTAGCTGTTCATTCTTAGGATCTGGTTTGGGGTTTCCCCTCCATGTGAAGGCTCCGGCCTGGGTCACTGCAGGTGCATAGTCTTCTCACTGCTCATACCAGACCTGGAGGCTGGATCTTAGCTGGCCCTCTCTTAAGTCAAGCTTAGCCAGTCTGCTGTCCTAGCACTGTAGGCTGAGTCGCAGCACCTGGTCTTGCCTGGACTCCAAGGCCTTTTCTGGATGGAGTGCTCTGGTTTGTCTCTGGGCATTGTAGGGTTTGTGGTCTGCCCGTAGCAGCCTTGTGTCAGTATACAGTGATGACAATATCCATGAATGGTTTAAGATGGGTTTTATCAATGGTCTCTACACTGTACTATGAGGATCCCACCCAGAAGCCCATTTGTTTTTCTCCTCACTGGCTCCTCAGGTGATGAGTCCATCGCGGGACGCCTCCGGAAGCTGTATGACAATGATGCTGGGAGCCAGGGGTCCTTCTCTAAGTGTGGGTGGGGAAAGGCCGGTGTGGACCCAGCCACAAATCTGGGACCATTTTCCTCTCCTGCAGACATCAAAGAGGTATGTGCTGGCCCTGTCCCCATCTCCACTCAACCCGACTGTCCTGTCTGTCCTTGGGCTTAGGACAATGCCTGTGCCAGGTCCTTGTATAAGGTCACCAGTCTCTGTAACCTCTCTGTCTTTGACTGTCCTATATCGTGGACATGGTTCTTCACTAACAGACAGATTCTGATTGGGAGCACAGGGCTGAAGTCCTGTGTAGGGTCCACACACTCCCCATAGATGGCTATACAGGGGGTGTCTTGCACGGGTCACTGAAGCCTCAGTGCTCTGATCTGTAGGATGGGTGTGAGATGCAACGCAAACAGGCGTGTTACGGGGGTTAGGGATCATGGCCTTGGCCCTAGCAAGACCCTGCATATGGACAGCCGTGGCAAATGCACACTGAGGAGGTCTACAGACAAGTCTCCTGCTTGGGAGATGTAGTTAAGGGTTCTTGTCAGAATTGGAGTAAGACAGGCCACCATCCCCAAATAGTTAACCCGAATTATACGCTTGATTCTCACGTTGCAAAATTGGAGCCTCACACACATGCATTGTTGGTGTCTGGTATGTTTCTCCTGACGTCCATTCCATGCTGTGTGTCTGACTTCTCCTGTACTTCTCTGTGACAGTGATGTAGTGAAGGGTCCCTTGATGCTCTTTTGTGCTGCTGGGTGATGGGATGATTACTTCCCTTGCATCAAGCTTCCGTCACCTTCCCTCTCCAGAACTCTACTCATATTCTGATTGCCCATAAGCCCCTTCTGTCTGTGCTCCCCCTTGGGCAATAGTGAACGGCAAGAGGCCAGTTTCTTCCCCCCTGACCCACTCTCGGATGTGGGCTCCGTCAGCAGACCCATCTTGAGGGACTGTGCGGGAAGGGCCTTTCTGTGAGTTCTCATCTTTCTGTTTTTCTATGCTGATTTCAGACGATGATCACTGCATATCCCCCTGACCTTGATATGATCGACGGCAGGATTTCAAACAACAAGGAGTCTATGTGTCTGACCCCAGTGTTCCCTGTGTCTCCAGAAACTCCATATGGTAAGAAAGAAGAAAAACCAACTGGGTGCAACTTAGTACCACAAGGTGGGGTGTAGAATGCCTTCTTGCTGGACTATCTTTGGACCACCAGATGGCAAATCATGATCTGAAGACTTATTATTAATTATGAAAGCTTGGCCTTTGCTTAGGCTTTTTCCCAAGTATAACTTAACACATTTTTAAATCTACATTCTGCCATGTGGCTCGGTTACCTCTTCTTAGTACAGTACATTCAACTTGCTTTGAGTCTGCTAGGAAAATTGCGCTCTTAGATTCCTCCTTCCAGTTTCTCTGGCTTTGCCTATAAATCCTGTCTATTCTCTCTTGCCTAGCTGTTGACCATTTAGCTCTTTATTAAATCAATCAGAAGGTGCCTTAGGCAGAGACACATCTTTACAGTGTAAACAAATATTCTCCAACGGTGGGGAGTAACAGTAGCCTTTTCTCCACCTTCTTTTCCAGTGAAGACATCCCCACGTTACCCTCCGTTTAGCCCGCCTGAGCCCCAGCTCAGCAGCCCAGCCAGTTTGCGCAAAGGAGGACGTGGTAAGAACCCTTGGCTGTGGCAGCCATGAGACCATTTGCTTGGTTGCTGTTTCTACCAAGGCATGCTCTGATGCAGAAATATTTCCATTTGGGCCACATCTCAAAAACCTTGGGCAGGGACATGTCTTGCTAGGGTTTGAGATGTGGCTGTAAATCCACTGGTTGGGAGTTGAGTAGCAATGAAACATTGACTTCCCAGTGTTTGTAGGAATGTTCAAGTGTGATGGTAGCATATGTGTCAATTTATGCTCAATTCAGTGGGACCCGTGGTCAGTTCCGAATAGGTGCTTAGCGTCCTGGTGAATCCCCATTGAGCAAGGGCTTTGAAGGAGAAGTGCTATCCACTTCACTAAGAAAATGGGGTCCAACAAAGAGCAGGGGGGTTATCTGCATGCACCCCACTAAATGGTCATCTCTTCATGCTGTTTTGTGTGACCCAGATGCTAGTCCAGTCTTCCTGTCCCTAAATACCTGGTACTTTCTCTTGTTCTCTACAGTGAAACCTAGAGACCTTCAGTATTTTGCACTGCAGGGAGGGAGTTAACAGTTCAGTGAATTTCTGTAGTGTTTCTCCCAGGTAGACGTTGCCCGTGTTTCTTGGGATCCCAGGATGGGCTGAGCACACACAGGTAGAAAGAAGCCCCACATATATTCTTTTGGACATTTAATTTTCATAACGTAGTTTGCTGTTTGCTCTTCCTGGACCATGTGGGTAATCTCAGTGTCCTTGAGTCCTTCCTAACCTCTGGCCTGTCTGGGTATCTTCCACAGGCATCTCAGTCCATCAGAGGTCCCAAGAAACATCCTGACCTGAGCCAGCCCTTTCTTAGTGCCTGACTAATGACCCATCTTCCCAGACTGGAAATGTCTTGGTTAGCCATGAAAAGTTGAAGAAGAGTATTTTGGCCCTAAGGTTACTCTGTCTGCATTGCCTGGGGGAATTTGAAATTGGAATGGCCCAAAGTGTCTATCCTAGGACCTTGGCTTCAATTTTGTTTTCTGAGTTCCTGTCTCTCAGAGGATCTCCCCAGGCTGCTACTCTTTGAGACATCACCCAAACATCTTGGTCTTCAAGCTTCTCTTTGGTCAGCAGGACATGGCACACTCAGTTTAATAATTGACTTGTATAGCTGCATAAGCCCCAGGTCTGAAGAGCCTGTTCCTAGATAACTTTTCAGTCAAAGACAAGCAAACTGTGCTGTTGTCCTGTTCGTCATCACAGATGTCAACTCTTCTGGGTGGGGAACGCACAGCTCATTGTCTGGATGCAGGTTTTCTCTGTCACTGTTTGCTGAGGTAGAGCCATGAATGATCTCTTCCTCCAGTGGAGTGAGAGACTTGGAGATTAGTGAAGGCCACTGCAGACACCGTGTGCTCAGTCAGTGCCACGGGGACCAACCACTTGAGACTGCAGCCTCCAGGGTCAGACTGTGGTAACCCAGGCAAGCTGTCCATACCCTGTTGGGCCAGCCCCTCGACACCCTCCACATGCCCCATGATGTTTTGTTTTGTTTTGTTTTTTGAGATAGGGTTTCTCTGTTTCACTGTCCTGGCTGTCCTGGACTCATTCTGTAGACCAGGCTGGCCTTGAACTCACAGAGATCTGTCTGCCTCTGCCTCTCGAGTGCTGGGATTTCAGATGTGTGCCACCTCCACCCAGCTGATCCTATGTTCATTTTAAAGTCACCTTTCTCTGTGAATTAGATTCTTGATGCCACATCTTTTCTACTGTGGGGAGGGCAAGTGAGTGACCCCATGCATGGTTGTTACCGGCATTTCCTGGAAATGAAAAGCTCTTGTTAACCTGTATTTGAATCCTGTCCCTGGGCAGATGTCAAATGGACACCACTGCACACTAGTTTGGGGCAATGGGGAGAGTAGATTGCATTAGACACCATTACAGCCAGAGAAATTGCGGAGCTCAGCCCCAGCTGCAGCAGTGTAAGCTGGATTTTATCACTACAGAGCAGAGCGGAGTGGGAGGGTCAGGGTGGATGGGAAAATCACTGGAGGACACTCGGGTGCGGGGCTTCTTGCTGAAGTCGTCCAACTGGATTCCTACAAGACCTAGAGCTTGGACATTAGAGCCGAGAGATGAGAAGCTTGATCAGATATACCTGATGTGGTTGACTGTTAGAAGTGAGATCACTGAGCAGAATTACTGCTAGAAACAAGAATGTGTGTGGATGGCCAAGCTCAGGCTTTGTGGAAAAGAAGCCTCAGAGGCGGCAGAGACAGTCTTTGTACTAGTCTCAAACCTGGGTTGATTCTGAAGACAGCTGCTTCCTATGACCGTGGCTCACACTTCCCCCGGGTCTCTCTGGGTCCTCTCATGGTTAGTTTAACCATAAAGTTCCTGAGTCCGATGCCTCTGGAACCAGCCAGGACCCTGCTATAAGCATGCTGCACACAGCCAGCCCAGGAACAAGCCTCCCTCTAGCAAATAGTTGGCCAGTAAACAGAAAGCAAGCCACAGCATACTTGGAGTCTGCTAGTGGGTAAATAAACGCAACCTGTTTTAGGGGGCTAGAGAGGTGGTTCATGGCTTACGAGCACTGGTTGCTCTGGAAGAGGACTGTGTTGTGTTGCCAACACCCACAAAGGTGGCTCACAACCACCTGTGACTACAGTTCTAGCGAACATGATGACCTCTTCTGACTTCCATGGACTCCTGCACACACGTGGTACACATGCATGCACGCAGGCACACCCACATACACACAATAATAAAAAAGGAAGAAGAAGAAGAAATCTCATTTACAAAAGCCTGAACAACTAACCTGAAAGGGGGGTCAGTGGCCAGCACAGGAGCCTGCCAACACCTGATGGTTCTTAAGAGCCAGTTAGACCTGGGTTGCTGTAGGTCTGCCAGGGGAGAAGAGTTTTTTCAGGGGATTTGGGCACTCTCGCTTACCTTAGATTTCTTTCTTACACCATACAGTAGGCAGTGTGACACCCCACCACGTTCTGTTGCAAAGAACGGTGTTCAGAGTTATTAGGCACACGTTTTTGTTTTTGTGCTATCCATCCAGGAATCTGCAAGGCTTTTCAGCACTGTAAGGTTCTCGCTGGCTCTGCCACCGGGCTGTTCCTCTGTTAGGGGTGCCCATTTGACCTTTGGAGTGTCTCAGTGAACACGGAGGATTAGGTGACTGAGGCAGGTTATTGTCGGATGGCACCCATCCTGCCAGTCATCCCCCTTCAGAAGCAAGATGGGAGCACACCCTGGCTCGCTTTCTCACTGGGTGGGCCCAGGGCGGTTTCTGGCACTCACTCCGTGTTTCTCTGTTTCAGAACAGCACAGCAAGTGACTCCCACTGTGAGCACGGGTAGTTCCAGTGCCTGACAGACCCAAGGCAGAATTAGCAAGGCTGTGCATGAAAAACATGACACAAGCAGCAAAGGAAGGGGCAGTGTCATAAACAGTGGAAAACCATTGGTGGTCATAACGCGTCAGTAGTGTGGAGAGTCTTAGTCCGCTTCCTGCTTTAACAGACTACTATGGCCCAGGAAGTATAGCATGAACAGAAACTGGGCTCACAGTTCCGGAGTCGGGGAGCCTGAGATCAGGGACCAGAGAATGCCTTCTTCATGGGTCACAGCACAGCAGAAGGCGGCCCATGGGGAGTGGGGAGATGACCAGGGAGGGTATAGGGCCTCTGCCGCTGCTTTTAGTTCTGAGCTTCGTCTGCCGCACTAGCATTGGTTTTCTAACACATGAGCTGTAGGGAGGGGCCGTGCTCAGACCTCAGCAGAGCATGAGTGGAGGGGCCACAGCTCCTTGGGCCTCTCTCAGCCAAGGAACCTTGCTCTATTCACCCAAGGCCCCTCGTGGCTTGCACAGACGCACCAGTCCCGACAAGTGAGGGCTGTTTCAGTGTTGGTGCACAGGAATGCTGCTGCCCCCCCCAGAGGCTTGTGAGAACATAAAGGGTGGAGGATGGCATAGGAGATGGCCATAGACACAGGGAGGGGAGGCAGGGTCAGCATCTGACATGACCCCTTGAGCTCTGTGAGGATGGTGACCACACAGCCAGCACAGCCCTGGAGTGCAGCTGTCTGTTCCTGCATCGTCGCTTCAGCCAAATTGTACCCCAGAAACATAAGCGGTCACGGTACCCAGAAATGTCTTAGCATTCCAGAAGTGAGCCGTTTTGTAAGGAAATGCCTTTTTTAAGAACTTAAGCAAGCATCTTTTAGTCTCCACCTTTATGTAGGTGAAAGAAAAAAATTATGAAGCATAAAGATATAAAATATCTTGTCATTTCTTAGATGATACTTAGCCTTGGTATTTCTAAAATAAGTGAAATGAAAAAACCATGGTGAAATGTTTCATTAAAAAAGCCATGATTTTCTAACATAACTAACTTTCCAAACTGTTCCAAACTAGTTCTTTTTTTCTTTTTAAGGCAAAATTCACATAACACACCACTTTAAAGCGAAAGGTCAGTCATTAGTAAATTACAGCGTCTTACGGTAGTTTGAGGCCATTCTTGTCACATAACAGCTTTTTACAGTGGTTATTCAGGGAGCGTTTGAGGACTTTGGACGTGATTAATGGCTGTTGTTTACTTCAAGGGAATGCTTTTGTAATTTTGCAATTTCTATTTTGTATTTGGCAGAGTGATAAGGTATCGTTTTGGGCTGTTGTCTCTCCTGTGAACACAAGGATTTGCGAAGGGTTTGGGGTTGGGTCCATCTGTGTACTGGGTTTACAGAGAACAAGAACCAGAATGACTGATTCATACTAGGGGAGCGGGATTTGGCGGAGTTTAGAGAGCAGAGGATGCAAAGCAGGGTTCAGGAGTATTGGGAGGGAAGCAGAAAGGAGGAGAAGGTGGGGCCCTCGGTTGATCTTATCTAGAAGCAGTTTGTTTGTTTTGCTTAGAAAAATAGTTGGGGGGTGGCTGGAGAGATGGTCAACAGTTAGGAGCACTGGCTGCTCTTCCAGAGGACCCAGGTTCAAGTCCCAGCACCCACATGGCAGCTCACAACTGTCT